AAAAAACTTGTGAGGAGATACTTTAAGACTATGTAAACATCCCATTCATCATCAAACTCTCACTTATTAGTTTTAGCAACCACTGATGATTTTCTAACTACATAGTTCCTTTTGTATTTATTAGCTGGCATTCTCTTCTTTCTATTGACTTACTTCTCTAGCGATTTATTTATATCAGAGTGAAATCACAGTTTCTTATTTTAGTCAGTGGTTACAATTTGCTATTACTTTATATTTTGATATTCAAATTGATCCAGATTTGTTCATTGGAAGCTCCCTTCAGCTACATCCTCTGTCCTTCTGATATGTTGCCATCATTTTAAGCCTTTCTAATTTTCTAGCACAAGATTTTCCAGGCATATCTTATACGTTTCCTATCCTAGACCTGGAACTTTTTCTCCAAAGACTCTTGGTTCCTTTTAAAGTGGAGAATGGCATTTAGAAGCCAAAGTCTGGGTGCTTAGTGTACTCATTGCTATTGAAATGTTATTGCTGCTAGTACCTCCCAGTGAGAAAGCTGAAGTAGATACAGAGATATATTTAACAAAATATGTGTAAGACCAATGCACTAAAAACTAGAAGATATTACCAGGAAAACTTTTAAAAGACCAGAATAAATGGATAAATATACTATATTCATGGATTGTAGGACTCATTATTAAGATATCAATTATGAAGATGTCTTCTTAGCATATTATAAGGTTGCAAGTCTATATATTGGCTGGGATTGTGGTCACATCTGAGGCTTGACTGGGGAAATATCTGCTTTTGTGCTCAAAAAGTTTGGTAGCAGAATTTTCTTTGTTGTATTGTGAAGACTGAGGGATTCATTTTTTTTTTTTTTTTGCTGACTAGAGCTCCTTCTAGGCTGTCAGCTAGAGGATACCCACAGTTCTCAGAAACTGCCTGTACTTCTTCATCATGTGGGATTTCCCTGCATGATACACAACTACACCCCCCCCATATTTAATTTTTAACCTCCAATTCTATTTCAACACTACAATGTATGTTCTAGTCTTCCCCCTTCAATAGTTAGAAACTTGGATATCATTATAAGTGCAAATATATTAATTTTCTCAAGCCTGGAATATACAGGATTGCTGCAAGGGGACAGAATATACTGTGTGGCATTTGGGGGGAAAAAAGCAAAGCAGGAAAGTTTTTCATGACTTTTATAATTCATATTCTTTTTTTTTTGTTGAAAGGAACTTGATCATAGATTTATTTTTTTCTGGTTGTATGATCAAAACCTTCAACAGTAGAGGTAGGTAAAAGCCAAATCATGTTGAACTTTGTAAGCCACATTAGAGAGTTTGGGCTTTATTCCAGTATATTGGGAACTGGAGGGCTTTCCGTTAAATCATTGCACATTTATCTGTTGTGAATAGCAGTAACAGCATTTTTGAAGTTATTTCCTGGTAATGTTTGTTATTTACTCAATCTTCAACTCATTCTACAACAAGATTGGAGATGCTTAGTGCAATCTGTACCAGTAAGTTAACACATTAAATAATCTAGCAAATAGGGATAAAGAATAAAATGGAGCTGGGGAACAAGAGGTCAGGGTGAGGTCAATGCAAAATATGCTCCCCTTTAAGAACTTTACAATTACAGAGGTTTTGTTACAAATTTTATCTGAGATCTCTGGAGAGTAGAACAGTCTGAAATACCTCATCTCCCAATCCCTTGTGATATGCTCACTTCATATAACAGGCCTTCCAAGTAACCTCCAATCTACCATGTACATCACAGAGAATTCAGACCCACTGATGGGAGAATCCATAAACTGTTTTATTTTGTTTTGTTTTCAAGTAACTTTTCAGAAAACTTCCTGGTTTCTAATAATTTGACCCTTTCAGGTTAAAAGAAAAAAATGGACATTTAGATAGTTTATTTAATCAAGACAACCAACAGAAGCAAATAATTCAAGCCAAAAATTCACTACATCTTTTGTAGGTAAGCAGAATTTTAAATCATAATTGACCTCCTGTTAGGAGAAATGCGTGGATTTCCACAGGGAAAAACTGAGCACCGAGGGCAGTCTCCAGCTCATGAGCACTGTAATCACACATCAGGATCATAGTAACAAATTAGAGCTCACATTTTAAAACCTGATATAATTTATCATGCATTATGTCACATTCTACTGCTTTGCTTACTTTTTATTGTCTTGTGGTTACTTATATACAACAGTGAAGTGTCAGAAACTGAAGTTACAGAAAGACAACTATTTAATGCAGGAAGGATAAACCATTGCATTGGGGGGATTGGAAGGCATTTTCTAAAGTTCTTACATTATCAATTTAATCATGCGTTTCTATGTAGTGAGTAATGTCTTACATTCTTGCCAAGAGTATTTTGAAAGGACTTTGTTAAAAGTATGTCAGCTCGATTACTTAGGGTATATCACTGATAATAGTGTCCTTCACACGTAGTGAAACATACAACTCCTGATTTAATTCTACCCCCAAATTAGGTCACTGCAAAATACCATATTAAAACTGCAAATTGCGGGACAAGAAGATGGAGATGAGAACAAAGCAAAAGGAAGACACCAACTTCATTCTTGTAAAGCATGATTGGGACAGGGCAAAACAGAGTAGGAAGGCTGAGCCCTTTTAAACGGATACTTTTTTGTAGTGTGTGTGTGTGTGTGTGTGTGTGTGTGTGTGTGCACGCGCGCCCGTGTTAATTCCATTTAAATATGACGAATGAACTTAAACTTGGGCTAATGGGCTGCTGTGCACTGTACCCGCGTAGTGCCTGTGCTCTCAAGTTAACCTCATTGTACAGAGGTGCCCTTGTTCTCTGACTTCATACACAAACCATCATAATTATTTCAGTTTACCTTTTCCTTTTCCTAGGAAATCTTGTTCCAGCCATGAAAAGGGAATGTTTGATGCAGACACCTAATTTGTAACTATTATTGTCGTTAATATTAACATTTTAAACACGGGAATGGCTTTGTTGGAAGTTACCCACCAGGACCCGCAAATCTGTGGCGCACGCCCCAGCTCTCCTTAACCCGCACGGTTGCTGGGGTGCTTCGAACCCCCGGGGCTGACTGGGCTCCGAGGAAGGTCGATGATCCCGGTTTCTCCCAGACCCAAGCCCTGGGTTGGAGGAAAGCGAGGCCAGACAGTCATTGTTCAGTCAGCCCAGAGGAAAAAGTGCCCAGGGTAGCAGCACCTCTTACTTTGCGTGGAAACTTCCCCTAGCTCCAGCTTTCGGGATTTAGGATGGGCGCACACATCGCGACTCTCCCTTTCTGACAGCGGGGCATCTGCGAACACACCCACAGTCACCTTTGCGCGCTCCCCCGGATCCCGCTCAGCACACAGCGCACCCCAGCGGTGGCGTGGCCTCCTTCCAGCCGTGGCCACTTAGCTTCCGGAGAGCTCGCCAGTTGCCTCCGCCGCCGCCTTGGAATCTGGGGACCTGAGACACTGCGAGACCCGGTTTCCACCAGACCCCAGGGAGGACGCGCGGCTGCAGCGCCTGCCCCACCCGCCACACCTGGGAGCGGTGAGGACCGGGAGAGGAGGGGCGCGGCAAGAGGCTGGCCAGGAGCCCGAGCAGCTTCGCCGAAAGCCAGCCGGACTGGAGCAAGGCGGAGGGGGAGGGTCTCGGGGCAGAGTCCTGCTCCTCCGAGGGAGGGACCCCAGCTGGGGTGGAAAACAGCACAAACCAGCTGCAGAGACTCGGGGCGCGGATCATGGAGCGGGCCAGCCCGGGCCCCGGGGGGTCGCAGTTGCAGCGGGACCAGGATTCGGTGGAAGCGTGGCTGGATGATCACTGGGACTTTACCTTCTCTTACTTTGTTAGGAAAGCCACCAGGTAAGAAGAGGACCCCCTGGAAGACTCAGCCGGGTCGCTGAGAGTGACCTGGGGGCTCATCTCTCTCCCCTGTTGAATTTTCCCCTGCCTTCACCGTTAAACAACCTCCGTTCCCAGGCCCTTGGCTTTTTAAGTAGGTCCTTGGTCCTGTTAGGGTATAGAGACCTCGACTTTATGGCAAGTACAGTCGAAAAGCCCAAACATGGGATTCGATCCAACTTGCTCACAAAGTTCAAATACAAAAATGTACATGTGACCTCTGACAGACACATACACTGGCTGCCCGGTATTCCTCGCGAGAGCCAGATTATTTGAGACACATCTGCGCTCATGGGCCTTCCTCCAGCCCTTCTCTAGCCTCCTGGTCCCCCTAAATCTCCTATGAAACCAAAACACAGCCCTTCCCAGTAGCCTGAAGCACCATTTCCAACTTGAACCTAGTGGTTCTGCTCCTCCCTGTCCTCCTGCCCCTGGCCCTTGGAGGGGGGGAAGCTGGGAAGGACTGAGGAGCCCAGTTGCAACATGCTGGACCTTCCCAGGCAGTGTTGCCGCTCTTTGCTCCCCTTCCAGTCCTTAGTTTGGCTCCATTTCACTCTTCCCTTGTCTGGCTGGGCAGGAAACCCAGAGGGTCTGGGCGGTGCACAGCTGGGCGCAGGAGCTGGCATGAGCGATCAGCCGGGGGCTGGCGGGTCCCAAGGCGTATCCCAACAGGATCCCAGAGGCCAGCCCCTTCATCGATAGCCGTCGGGCACGAGGGTCATAGATCCGTCCCTCGATATGGTCCGTATAAATGGGCAAGGCGCGTGGGAAACGCTCACGGAGCTGGGAATTGGGGCCAAAGCTGAGGAAGGAGGAGGAGAGGGAGTGTATGAAGTGGATCCCCTGCCTGGAGGAGTTGGTGGGAAGCCGACTCGGGCTGATTCCAGGACGCACCTCTTCGGAGAAGGGTCCCGTGTCCTCCGCCGCCACATCCAGGCAGCGGCCGTCGGGTAGCCGGCGCTGGCCGCCTCGGCCAGGGAGAGAGAGACGTAATTAGGGTGGTGATGGTGGAGCGGCCAGCCGGGGCACGGCGCTGGGGTCCCACCCGCCCGCGCTCCGTCTCCGCTGTGCCGGGCGCTCCCCGCCAGGGGGCGGCGCAGCGCGGGACGAGCGGGCGGCGGCTGGCAGCGGCGCGGTGGCGGGGTCGGTAGGGGAGCGGGCTTGGAGTCACCGCCTCACCTGGGCACGTCGTCGCCCCCCGGCGCCTCTGGAACCCAGGGTCTGCGGAGCCCGCATGGTCTGCACTTTGAACTTCCCATGTTTGATATGTTGCCCTTTGGAGACAAAACCAGGTAGTTCCTTCAGCATCCCCTCCCTTCCCACTTTCCCTGGGGGCGCGGGGCCGGGTGCTGGGGTGGTGGCGCCTGGGTCACAGCAGCGGAGGAATCTTCATTGAAAATGGACTGTCTGACATTTTTGTTTTCCTTTATTCTCTTGCGGTGTATTACTTTGGTATCTTAGAAGGGACTCTTTTTTTAAGGCTGTTTTTCCTAACGAATTTGTATCGATTTCATTACTTTCGGGGTTTTTTTGATAGAGGCTACTGCTTAGGGCAAATCTTACCTCTTCTGTTTAATTACTCCGCCCTCCTTTTAAAGTTGGCTTTCCCATTTTGGCCTTTTTCCTTCAGAATCTTAAATCTGAAGCAAGCGGAGGATAAACCCTGGAAAGAAAGTGGTTTCTTTTCAAAACACACTTTTCTGCGAGTGTAGGGTAAGGCACTAAGGCCATCTAGATCTGGAATTGCTGATTGCTGTGGCCGACAGTTTTCAGCGGTCACCTGCTACTCCGAGGCCATCTGCCCCTCGTTTCCTTTCCCCCTTGCACTCATCCACCTTTCTGCCCTAGTTGAACGGGGAGTGAGCAGGAGAACTGGGCTGATTTTTTTTTAAGTGTGTCAAGGTGTTTTTGGGAGGTGGCATATTATTAATAGTTGAAAGAAAAAAGTGATTTGTCTTATAAATCAACATAAATTGTCCTTTTCTTTTTTTCCCATCTCTCCCTTTAAAGTCAGAAATTTGGGATTGTTTAGTGGTTCTTTTTAAGTAGTCATAGGTAAGAACACCTCACTCCGAGCCTGCCAAAACTTTGAAAAACATTTCACTGGAAAATAAATGGAAAGAATTAAATTTACTTTTCTTTTCACATTACTTCTTCTCCCAAGTAGCAAAAGATTAAAATCCCAATTTCTCAAAATTACACTGCTCTGTGTAAAATTTAGATCATCTGAGACTCTATATGAAGATTTTTTAAGTTAGTTTTTGTATTATAGTTTATATTGACATAGGCTGACCACTTTCTCTGATATGTGTGTGTTGTGTGTATATATTCTTATGTATTTATAAGAGCTTATGTTGAATAGGAGTTGGAAAACGAAAGTATAAAATGTTTAAGAGTAGTACAGGCCCTCAGTTTTAAGAGTTATGAAGTGCTGAAAGTTGTCAGTTTAAAGAATATAATCTAAGAGCTTGTGTGTAGTCAGAGGTTCCCGTTTGGTCTTATATTTGGTGGCATTAACTGGAGATTTAAGATTGTGAGATTAGACAGTAGTTGATTATAAAAATGCCAAACTTCTAAACCCAGTGTGAGTCTTATGGTTGTAGTAAAAATTTATTTGCAGACATTTTAACTTTACAGCTAAGATTTTTTTTTTTAACTAGAAGCTCACATTACTTCGCTTTTTTCCTTTTGTTACATTTTGTAAGTGTAATGTGAATACTGTCAGTGATTCAGAAAACCCATGAAACAGTTCTGTAGAAACATTTAACATGTTTTAAAATTTAAAAGAAATTTGGATACACTTAGATTGGCCATCTGTGAGTGTAGACAGGCATGTGAATGGAACTGTTTCTACATTATTTGATTTGATTGTTGTCATTTGACATTCATGCATGCCTCTTTATCCTATCTCCAGACTGAATGATCTGTACTCAATAGTAGTCATCGAACAGAATGAAGGTTCTGGCATTCCTAAATTCTCATTTAAATACCCATGGGTTTGGTTGACCTCGAAAGCAATTCTGCCGCTGTATTAGATTGTTTCCTGTATCTTCAAATACAAAGCTAAGCACCCAGTTAAAAGCTAAAAGCTTGGAGCACAGATGCTTTTTAGTAATCACAGACTGTTGATGTGAATTTGAGAGTGTTGGTTGAACAATCCATAACATAATCTTTTGGCATAAAAAAATAATTTGAGACTAGTAAAAGTACAACATATGGAAAATTTCCACCCTCACTATTCTAGACAACTTCCTCAGTCCTACCCGCCTGAGATACTGTGTTAATCAAGGGCTCTAATCTTCATGTATTTGCAAATGAAGTCTTCTGGGTGCTAATGCCACTTAAACAGCTGTTGTTATTCTTGACAGCATATTAAAATAATGTTACCTTTCATTAGTTACTAATCATCTCTGCCATTGTGGGTGATGTTATAGTTTATTTATCATGGTAGGGGTAACATGATTGACTTTACTGCTTTGTTTTGTACTAGGCTAAAGCTTGAGAATATTTGGCATATAATGAAAATAGGAGTTACTAAGTGAGGACAAGTTTTTATGATCGCCTGGATCAAAGTCCAGAAACAGAAGTTTTACACTCCCAAGTAGCTTTCTGCGATAGACCTTTTATTTGACACTGCAAAGCTGTGCTGAATTACTTGACATTTTTTTCTTCATAATTTTTTCTCATCTCTAAAAGCTTACCATTTTTATTTGCAAGATATTTATTTTAAAATCAGATGATGGATATAAAATAAATATTGCTACCTACTTTTAAAAATTATTGTGTCTGTAATTATATAGGAATATAATTTTCAATTTTCAGACAACTGATTTGTTAAGCGTATTTGATTAAGCTGTCGCTAGTGTTGAATATAATAAAACCCTGTGATTGTTGACTCAGTCTGACTTTAATATTATTTATAATATTTTTATGATGGTAAATCTGATGCAATAATGGCCTTTTCTTTTTGTATTGTTTATAACCAGGGTTCATATAGCCAGCTCTAAACTGCTTTTTAGTGCCCTAAGAGTACTCATATGTATGGAATTCCTTTCTCCTAGAAGAAGCTGTAGGAGCCCCTGAAATGATGTTTCTCATGGCCCCTTCTATCTCTAGTGTTCTCAAGGTTTCAAAATCAGACCCATTTTAGAGCCTGCAGTACAAGGTCATGGTTCCTAAGAATGTGGTAGAATTAATGCAGTCGCAACTAGTCACAGATGGTATCTCAAAATAAATCTATCTGCTTAGCTAACAAAATCTGAAATAGGCATATAGTACAATTCAGTAGCTTTTTTTCAGATCTGTATTTTCCTAGGATCATGTTTTCAACATCTCAAGACGTGCAATATTTAACATTTTGAATATGTTGTGCAACAAAATTTTCTTTTTAAGTAATTCCACCTAAGTATTTAAACATTTAAAATATCTGAAACTGGCTTTCAAGTTGTACAGGTAAAGTTTCATCCTTATCTGATTACAGGGAATGTGTCTTAGTAATATGCTTCCTTTCCTTTAAATTTGAAAACGGGATGCATGAATGGTTGTTGCTCCCACTTCAGCAGGTCACATGATCCCATGGTCCCGGAGCTATGAGAGCCCCCCCTGATCAGGGCTCTGCGGCTGATGGCTCCAGAGCCTGAGCCTGTTTCCGATTCTGTGTCTCCTCTCTCTCTGCTCCTCCTCCTCTCATGCCTGTCTCTCTCTGTCCCAAAATAAACGTTGAAAAAAAAAATTAAAAAAAAAAAAAAAGGAGCTCTGGGTGTTGGCCTCGGTAAGCTCCGACTTCAGCCAGGGTCATCACGATCTCGCTGGTCCAGAGAGTTCGACTCAAGGCCGGGCTCATGGCTCAGAGCCTGGAGCCTGTTTCCCATCTGTGTCTCCCTCTCTCTCTCTGCCCTCCCCATTCATGCTCTGTCTCTCTCTGTCCCAAAAAAATAAATAAACGTTGAAAAAAAAAAATT